TTCACACAGCTGGCAGCCGGGGCTGTTGATCGGAGCACTCACATGTGGATTCACCATAGGGGTTGGACTTCCCACAACATGGCAGCTGGGTTGCAAGAGGGAATGTCCCAAGACCAAGTGTTTCAGGAGGCCTGTGCGGAAGCTACAAGGCTCCCAATGACCTAGTTTCCCAAGTCCCAGAACGTCTTTCCTGTTATTGGCCCTATGTTCTATTGGCCAAGTAAACACTAAGGGCAGCCCAGATTCACAGGGAGGGGAAGGATAGAGACTCTACCTCTTGATGTGAGGAGTAGTATGTGCATACAGGGAGGGCAGGAATTGATGGTGGCCATCTTTGGAGACTAGCTACCATGGTCACTCTCTCCCCATTCAGTCAGAGCTTTGGGGGAGGATTTGGGTTGTTACAGCATGAAGGCAATGAGAAAGACAGTCAGTGATTTCAAATAGTCTCTTGAAACCTACAACAGAGACACGGTGTCTGGTTGTGGTCACTGATCTTTTGTAAAGACAAAAGAACCCAAGAGACTCAGAACTTGAAACCGATGCCATGAACAGTAAATGGGGAGAATGCAGAAGCTGTCTTTCTGCCTGTAAGGGATAAAATTTGACCAGCTAGAGGGAGGAGGGGAATCACACGGAGACAGAACTAACAGTCGATGCTAGATCTCCAAAAAGAAATTTGGGGCTATCCCAGAGTAGAAGGGGATATCGCCTGGTTCCTCATGGTGTTTGCCAGGAGACCAACACCTCCTAGCAAGGGCTGGAGAGGCTGACAGCCCTGATGGGAGCAGGTGTTTGACAGATGGGCCTGGGGGTGTCCTCCACAGTCATCTGTGTCCCTGTAGCAAGGTGATCACGATGAGGGTATAGGGTAGAGCGTGAGTGTAGCTGGTGGACCTGGAAATGCTTTGTGGTCAGGGCAAGTGTTCGGTGGGGACGTCTTGGTTCAGTGGATGGCAGTAGATAGAGCCTGGGATCCAGAATCAGGTGTACACCCTGGGGCCAGGGCAAATTAGGAGAGCCCAGAACATGGACCACCCTCAAGGAGAAGGGAAGCAGCAGTGGAAAGTGGAGAAGCTGGAAGTGGACCAAGAATCTACTTAAGAGAGACTCAGGGAACGTCCAGATGTGACTGCATTTACCTCAAACCGACTAAGTTTGTGCTACTGAACAGAAAAGGAGCAGGGGTAAGAGTGACCTTGAGTCACGGAGAAATAAAGAAACTGTATTTTGGCAATACAGTTGTATCTGTTTGTGGCTGTTTCTGGGCCAGCAAACTGGGGCCATCTTCAACTTTTCATCTTCTCTCATCTCTTGTGCTTGGTTGGCTCCGGGGCTCATATTTCTACTTCTAATCGTCTCTTCAATCCACCTCCTCGCCACCGGCCGCGTTGTTTAGCTCAGCACTGCATCCCTTCTCACCTGGACAGCTGTGGCGGCCTCTTAGATATTCTCCCTGCCTCCAGGCTTGTGGGGGACCCCTTCAAACCCTTTTCTGCAGGCAGCCAGAGGGGTGACAGGACTTACTGTTTTCTTTACCTAAACCAATGCAAACTCTCCTGGAAAATCATTTTGCTGTCCCGTTTTGAACAAAGTTCACCTTCTTATTACATTACCCACCTTATTGGCCATCACTGATTGCCTCTTAAACAAATTCCTGCATTCTCACCTCGGGCTATTTTGGTCACGAACCTGAGGGATGGAAAACAGCGGTAGCCATGAATGCCAGCATGTGGAGAGGCAGGTCTGGGAGGGTGGGGCTGGCATGCGGCGAGACATGGAGACATGGATATGGGAGAGGAAGGGTCTGACAGTCAAGTCTCTGGCTTCAGGGGACTTGGATGCCCAACTAGCCTGCCTATGGTTTGGCTACAGAAGCCAATCAAGTTCTGTTTCTGTCTGAGCTGGTGTGAGTTTTTTTTCACTGGCAAAGAAACATGACTAAATGAAAACGTGATCACATCGGTCTCTGCTTAAGCACGTTCACTGGTTCCTCACTACCCTTGGGATAAAAGCCCAAATTCCTCGGCATGACACACAGGTCACTGCTCTCCCTCGTGTTGCATCCAGGCCCCAAACCTGTGTGCCCCACACATGCTGGACTCATTTCTGTCCTTGGTGTATCCCACGGAGGTTGCTGGCCTCATGGGGACCAGGTAAGAGAGGAGATCCACGCCTACTCTGCCTGCTCCCCTCACCTCCCCTGCCTGCTCCCCTCGCCTCCCCGCAATCTCGCAGCTCTCAAGTCTTTTGAATCCAAGTCTTTATCTAGGATTTCACCTGGGCAGTCTCTTCTAAACTCTGGGCCCTTCCTTTTCCTATATCAAAACTTACCTCTCTCGGGCTTCCCTGGTGGCGCAGTGGTTGAGAGCCCGCCTGCCAATGCAGGGGATGTGGGATCGAGCCCTGGTCCGGAAAGACCCCACATGCTGCGGAGCAGCTGGGCCCGTGCGCCACAGCTGCTGAGCCTGTGCTCTGGAGCCCCTGAGCTGCAACTACTGAGCCCATGCACCACAACTACTGAAGCCCGCGTGCCTAGAGCCCGTGCTCCGCAACAAGAGAAGCCACCGCAATGAGAGGCCCGCCCACTGCAACAAAAAGTAGCTCACGCTCGCTGCAACTAGAGAAAGCCCGTGAGCAGCAACGAAGACCCAATGCAGCCAAAAATAAATTTATTAATAAAAAAACCAAAAAAACCCCACAAAACTTACCTCTCTCATGTTTTATCTCCTAAGAACTTGGGTCTTTGCATTTTTTTAATTGCAAAAATAATTTGTGGACATCTTAGAAAATTGCTAAGTACCCAAAGCACCCAGAGGCAACCACTGTTCACATCTTGAAACACTTCTTATCAGAACTGTTTTAAAACAAGTCTTCTGTTTCTTTCCATGTAATACATACACATTGTTAAAAAAAAAAAATTCCAAGAGGATAGAAGAGCAGCCTTCTCTGCCTTCTCCCCATCCCCAAACTCTCACCCCAGAGTATGTGACCTGTTCCTTGAGGTCACCTCTCAGCTCTAAGAAACAATTAGATCCCTCGCTTTAGGAAGGGTGCTTTCACCAGCATCTAACGAAACACCCGAGAGTGGCTTAAACAGTAAGACCATTTTATTTATTTCAAAGAAAGTCCAGGAGTCAGTGGTGCCACGTGTCCGAACTGAGTCAGCACACAGTTGCAACTCCTGGCCTTCCCCTCCTGGTCACCAGATGGCTGTCAGAGCTCCAAGTATCACGTTTTTACCCAACAGCACCTAGGCAGAAAGGAACGGGCAGGACCAATAAAGCTCTCCAGATGCATCCCTTTAACCAGGGAGGAAAGTGCTTCCTTGAAGCTGCCTGACAATATTCACAAGATCCTAGTCAAAATCGGGTCATGAGAGTTTTCTGACCCGCATCTATGATACCCTATTTCTAAACAGTTCGTAAGACCCACTGATGTCCCATGTGGTAGATTAGGCTTTGGGTCACTTGGAAACTACTCCCCACCATCCCTGCTTCTCCCACCACAGTTGTCAAGTACCTCTGTTGGTTTTTAATTTTAAGAAACCTACTTGCCCCTTCACTCCTGACTCCACTGTGTGTCCACAGACGCTCCTGTGCCTCCCATTACCGTCCCTGTCAGTCCTCTGACCCCTTCCCTCCACTGCTCTCTCCCAGCTTCTACATCTTTACTTTCACATCTGCCTATGGTTTGGCTACAGAAGGTCACTGGTCATCACATCGTGATGGGTGATAATACTGACATTCTGTTCTGTAACCATAATAAAATCCAGGTCAATACAAAAATTGAGTATCAATGAAAAGTGAAAAGGAAAAGATAAAATTCTCATTACTTGAGACAACTATACCATGTAACTTCCTGTGGGTACCTACCTATGTATCTACAAATTTTTAGAAAGTCTAGAAAAGTGTACATTGGGCCCATTACAGTAGCAACCTCTGGGTAAGAAGGAAATGGGATGGCAGTGGGTGCCCAAAAGGGACTTTAGGTTCATCTGCAATGTTCTATTTCTCAAAAAGGAGAATATATTCATGTTGCGCTCATGTCATTAAACTTTCTTTGAAAAAATTCCCATTCCTTTCCAGCCAATTATGGCAGCTCTGTGTTTGGCAGTGCTTGCACGTCTGTGTCCAGGAAGGAAGAACGTTTACTTTGTGTGTGTCTATGAATGAAGTACAGTGATTAGTGGATTAAAAAAAAAATGTAGCAAGCAGAAGCAAAACAAAACAGGGGGTGCAGAGAGAACTCATTCACAACAACAATAAAAACTATAGGAATAAACCCATCAGGAAATTGGTAGGTTCGTTATGGAGAAAACCATAAAATAGGACTAAAGGCTGCCCTTTAGATGATCAGAATGAGTGTAGGGCTATACTGTGTTCATGGATTGAAAGACTCAGGATTGTACTGATGTTGATTTTCCCCAAATTAATCTTTAAATTCACAGAACCTGACAAGCAGGTTTTAAAATTCATGTGGAGGAGTTAACGTGCAGTAATTGTTAGCTGAGTTAATTGAACAGGAAGCACAATGAAATGGAACATTTTACTTAACAGATATCAAAAGGTGGTCTCAAGTTAGAGTGGATAAAACAGTCTGATGCAGACAGAAATATATAGACTGGTGAAAGAGAACCAGCGCCTCAGACCTACCTAGACATGGCAATTCAGTATATGAGGGAGTTTCACTTCAGATCAGTGGAGAGAGAAGGAACTAGACAGTCCGTCATGTTGCAATAATTAGCTGTATGTTTGCAGAAAGGTTAGATCATATCTCATTTCAATCATAAACATACATTCCAGCTGCATTAAAGACCCAAATAGGGCTTCCCTGGTGGCGCAGTGGTTGAGAGTCCGCCTGCTGATGCAGGGGACACGGGTTCATGCCCCGGCCCGGGAAGATCCCACATGCCGCAGAGGGGCTGGGTCCGTGAGCCATGGCCGCTAAGCCTGCGCGCCCGGAGCCTGTGCTCCGCAACGGGAGAGGCCACAACAGTGAGGGGCCCGCATACCCCCCCACACAAAAAAGACCCAAATAAAAACAAAATTACTAGAAAGGAATACAGAGTATACCTAAACCTTAGGAGTAAGAAAGGCCTAAACATGATATATAAATACAAGGAATAAAGGAAAAGATGGATAAATTTGATTATGTCAAAATTGATAACTTCTGTCTAACAAAAGCCCCTACAAAATTTGAAGGCAACAGACAAGCTGGAAGAAAACATTTGCCATATATATATATATACATATATACACACACACACACACAAAAGATTAATATCCAGATTACATTAGGAAACTCAAAAATCAATAAGATAAAGACAAACAACCTAATTTTTTAAATGAGCAAAAATAAACAGATCATTCAGAAAAGAGAAAATACAAATGCCTAAAACACATGAAAATCTCACTAGCAAACAGGTATGTATAAACTTTAAAAAATTATTCAATTTTTCACCCAGCAAATTGGCAAACATTTAAAACAATCACTTATGGTGTGGGGAGTCCTCCCATATCCTCTGGCTAGAAGTTTAAATGGTACAGAAATTATGGAGGACACTTTGGTAACGTCTAAAACTAAAAATGTGGAAACCCTGAGAACACAAATTCCACTTCTCAATCACCACCCTAGAGAAACATTACAGAAGAGGCAGGTGTAAGGCCGTTTTCTGTGGCGCTGCTTATGATGGAGGAAAGAAAAGGATGCAACTAAATGTCCATGGATCTTAGGAAGGAAAAATGTAGCACATTCATGGGAATGAATATAACACAGCTACTAAAAGGAACTGGCAAGAGCTATTTATATCAGCATATCTTAGAAATATAAGATGGAGTGAAAAAACACAGCTTACAGTAAAATCTCTATAGAGTGCGATGATTCATTCAAAATACCTCCATTGATACTTACATTTCTATGGAAGGAGACACATAAAACTGCGGGTGAGGGAGGGAAACTAGGATTTCAGAGGGTGGCCAAAGGAAACTTTAGTTACATTCATATTGTCCTACTTTCAAAAGGAAAATGTATTCATGCTTTACTTCGTTAATTAAAGTATAATCTGAAAATACTCTAATTTGTTTTCAGCCAATTACGCCGGCTCTGTGTGTTTGGTGGTGCTTGCATATTTGTGCCCCCGGAGGAAGAATGTTCACTTTGCGTGTGTGTCTGCAAGTCAAGCCCACTGATCGGTAAACAGGTTGAAATGAAATATGGGAAAACAAGGGCCAAACAAATAAACGGAGAGGAGACCCTATTCACAGTTGACAGCAAAACCTGTAATAAACCTAGGAATAAATTTATCAAGAAATATGCAAGACTTTAGAGAAAACCATAAAACTTCCCTGAAAGACATGAGAGTGACCGGAACTGAGAGATAATAGCAATAAGCATTGGCAGAAGACTCAAATATGATAAAGGTGCCAATTTTCTTCAAACTTACCTAAAACTCAATGTGATCCCAATTAAAATCCCAGCAGAATTTTTCCTGAGACTCGACAGGCTATTTTAAAATTCATGTGGTGGGACAAATATGCAAGGACGATCAAGGCAATTTTACAAAAACAACAGAGAGGTTGGGATTTGTTCTGCCAGTTAGCAAAGCATATTATCAAGCTCAGGAGTAGACAAATAGATCAGTGGACCAGAAAGAGCTCTGACATAGACCCGCATTGGAATTTAGTGTCAGGCAGAGAGGCAGTTTTAAATTAGTGGAGAAATGATATATTATTCCATAAATGGTGTTGGGGGGAATGGGGAGGAATTAAAGTTAGATCCTAAGATTTGTACATATGGAATTTATTTTTTGTATATAGTATAAGGGCTTAAATATGTATGTATACAGAAACTATAAATTTTAGAGAAGGAAATACAGTAAATACTTATGACCTTGATACAGGGAATACTTTCTTAAATAAGACTGTAAAAATGGCCTAAAAGTAAGATTGACAAATTTGATCGTATCAAAGTTAAAATTTCTCTAAGACAAAAAGATACTACACAGTTAAATGACACAAATCACAATGTAGAAAACATCTGCAATATACATGACAAAGTATTAATATTCAAATAAAGAACTCTTAAAAATCAATAGCAAAAAGACAAAAAAAACCTAAAAAAAAAAAAAAAAAAAAGAAACAGGCAAAGGATATGCACAAGCAATCCAGAGGAGGAAATGAAAATGGACAGTAAACACATGAAGACTTCAGTCTTGCAGGTAATTCAGAAAAATGCCAACTAAAGCAAGATACTATTTCTCACTCATCAGACTGGTTAAAAATGGAAAACTTGGACGTGGTCTGGGGAAATGGACACACACACACTGCTAGCAGGAGATAACATTAGAAGGCAATTTGGAGAACACTTCAGAAATTTCTATTAGAATTTAAGATATAAATACCTTATGACCCATCAGTTCCATTTCTAAGTATGTATCCCAGAGAAATACTTGTACATGTGCAAAATGAACAATTATAAGATGCTCTTACAGGTTTGTCTTAATGGAACGACACTGGAAACATTTTAATAGTCAATCAATAGGAAACAAGAAAATCAAGCATGTGTAATCCTAAGGCCGCCAGTCGCCAGCTGCAAGGAACACTGCGGCAGAGCACGTCGGCTACACCAGGAGTCCCACAGGGCGCACTAGCTGAGAGCAACACCTCCAGCTTGTACACATCATGTCTGTGCAAACAAACACACGAAAAGAGAACAGAAGATGTGTTTCAATGGGCATCGGAAAACATTTTGGATGAACAGCAAAAGCCTAAGAGAGCTACCTCGGGAGGGGGAGAGGGATCTAGGGGCGGGGGGCTGTTCAGTAGAGACTTCTTTATCTGTAATACTCTAATTTTATTTAAAGGAAAATGTATTCATGTATTACTTGTATAATTAAATTTTAATTCAAAAATTCTAATTCATTTCCAGCCAATTAGTTCTACTTTATATGAGTGCTGTGCTCTCATTTGTGTGCCCAGGGACAAAGCACATTTACTCCGAGTGTGTGTCTGCGAATGAAGCATCGTGATTAGTAAATTGATTAAAATTTGGAAAGCAAAAAGCAAAAAGCAAAACCTTTTACACTCACAAAAGGAGCAACACTGATAAGGTACTCAGGAATAAACCTAATAAGAAATGTGAAAAACCTTTATGACAAAAGCAACCAACCTTTATTAAAAGACATTAAAAATCAAACCAAACACATAAGACTTTGATTAAATGGAGACAGATACCATGTTCACGGATGGGAAGAACTGATATCCTAAAGATGTTATTTCTCCCTTCAATGAAATCCCACACAAAATTCCCACAGGATTTTTTTCATGGAACTTTGACAAGCTGATTCTAAAGTGTATATGAAAAAGTAACTGTGCAATACGACCAAGGTAATTTTAAAAAAGAATAAAGGGCAAGGAAGGGAGGGGTGCTTAACTTACTGGGTAGTAAGATAAAGCTTTTGCTCATTAAAATCTGGTATTGGCCCAGAAGTAGACAAACAGATCAACAGACCTGAACAGAGTGTAGACATAGGGAACTGGGAGAAAAGATAGTGTTGGGACAATAAATGGTGCTTAGCCAACTGGTTATCCATTTGGAAAAAGATCAAATTAGATCTCTGTGTCACACCATACACGGAAATCCGTTTCAGATGGGTTAAAGAAAAACATTAAAAAAAAAATACAGAGGGCTTCAATGTAAATACAGAATGTATGTATCATTCATGTGGGGGGGAGGTTTCTTAGACAAGAGTGCTACCTGCCCTAGTGCTAGCGCTGCAGATGTTATCACCGCAGTTTGATATGATGCTTTAATATCCTGTTTCCAGTCGGACCGTACCTCCAACCTTCCGCACGTGCCTGCGGAGCGTCTCCACCTGGACCTCACAGACCCCTCTTCTTCTTCCTCTCAGCTCAACCTGGTCCTGGGAAGAAGGACTGTGATCCTGGATGGACTGAGGTTGAATCCAGCTCCTGCTACTTGTGCTCTATGTCAGAAAGGCACTTGCTTCTCCAGTTTCTGTTCCCTCCTCTATGATGTAGGGTGATGCTCTGTTGCTTGTGGGGGAAGGTGAAGTTCACATGAGATGATGAATGTGAACATGCATAAATGGCACAGAGCTTATAAGGATGAGGAGAGCCGACTTCTTTACTTTTTCTCCACCTACCCACCCGTGCAAACCCCTGCCACCATGACTTAATACCCCAATTCTCTCCTGCATCATAATTCCGGAGAATCGTCACAGATTCTTTCTGGTCAAAAAGTGTGAATGTTGACTTCAGGTTTTTCATTCCAAGGCAGATAATATTGATTCAGCACCCAGAGAGCTTACTGCATGTTGCTAGGTGCTGAGAAACACAAAAAAGAAGAAGACAGGATCCCAGCCATGAGACAGGATAAAAATGGTGCTAATTAGAGCTGTAGTTAGTACATAGGTCAGATAAAAGCTCCCAAAAGAACATGGAGATCAAGTTACCCTCTAAAAGGTAAATAATTAAATTTTGCCCCATTCAGTCAAATACACATTATTGCCCCAAACTAATTTATCCATCACCACACTTGAACCCAACCCCTGTGGGAACCCATTTCACTAATTGTCTCCATCCTCAATCACTCCATTGCTCTGGCTCCATCCCCTCAGAATATTCATATGCCAGCACTGCTCTTTCCTTGAAGACTAAAATTTAATTAAAGGGCCTAGACTTTGCTGCCTCTCTCCTTCCTCTCCTTAATCACCCCCCCCCCACAAAAGCTGCCTCCGTTAAGGTCCCCAGAGGCCTCCCATGGGCCCTGGGGGTGGCAATCAGCAGGGACCCCAGGCTGCCCAATTCCAGGGGCACTATGGTGATTGTGCAGTTGCACATTGGAGGGGCTTGTGGATGTGCCCTTGACCCCTGACCTTTCTGCACATACCCACTGATGACCACTCCATCTTTCTGGGGAAAGACCTCTCTGGCCCTTTCTTTTCTGTACCTTAGGAGGGTCGTTCTTTCCTTTTACAGGCCCCAGTCGTTGGTGCCTGGCCTCTTCTTCCTCAGCCTCCCTCATCCCCTCAGAATGCTCCAGAAACCTGATACCACTTCAACTGACATTTCCACTCAGGACCCCTCAGGAGTTCTGAACCGGTCTCAGAGGCTCTGTGTTCCAGGTCCATGCATTCAGCCACCTCCTCCCCACGTCCCAGCTTGGGTGCCTCAGCTGTCTACCACCAGACTTGGGGTCTGCCTCACAGGCCTAGTTTCTTTGTAGAAAAGCACTGCCACGCCACCAGTAAGGCAAGCCAGAAACTCAGGGGACTTCTGGAATACCTCCTCCTCTCCCTCCCCCTCTTCAATCCATCCAGCACCAAGACTGACCAGAATGTGTTGTGTCCAGACAGAAGCTTCCTACCTGGTCTCCCTAAGTGATTCCTCTAATGACTTCTCCATGGACCAGCCAGAGTCTCAGATCACAGGAAATACTAGGGCAGGCCTCGGGCACGTGTCCCTCACTCTCATGATGGACACAGGAGCTCAGCCCTGGCCTCTAAAGCTCTGCCCAGCCAGCACTGCCTGCCTCTCTGGTCTCACAGCACCTTGCTTTGCACACACTGTTCCCTCTGCCCCGAATGCTCTTCTCCAATTTGTTCTGTCCAGTTAACTCTGTCTCCTTAACTTGGTTCAAGTGTCACCTCCTCAGGGAAGCCTCCTGGAGTTGGCCTAGGGCAGGTCCCCTTGTTGTGCACCCTCCAGCACTTGGCACTTTTCTTTTGGAGTGCCTGTCAAAAGTTATACATTTATGTGTGTGATTATCTGATTCATGTCTTTCTCCCCTACTACCATACAAGCTCCACGAGAACAGGAAATCTGCCTATTTTAACTCATTCACCACAGAATCCACAGTGCTAGGCACAATGCCAGGCACAAAATAGGTGGTAAACTAGAATATGTAGAATGAATAAACTTTTGTCGTCACTAAACCACACGTCACATTTGGGCGTTGACATCTGCCTATGAACTTGCTCCTGCCTTTCCTACACTCAACTTTCCCACCCTTGTCCTTCACATCTCCAAGTCTTCTTTCCAGATTCCTCAAAGGACTCTTGGCGACAGATTCACCTCTCCCTCACATCTCAACATTATTTAAGCCTATGCCCCATCACTCCTCCAAAATGCTCTTATTAAGGTCATCAAAAGCTTACTCATCATCAAATCTAAAGAAAAAATCCTGTCTTTATCTTACTGGAATTCTCTGCTGCATTTGACAGCGTTGATTACTTTCTCCTTGAAACTCTTCACTACCTTGGTTTCCATGGCAACCACTCTTCTGGTTGGTTGTCGCCCGTCTCAGGCCTTTCCTTTTCTTTCTCCTTTGTCGCCTACCCACACCTTGATTGGTTCTTCAAATGTCACTGTAACTCATGATTCTGCCCTGGGCCCTGCCCCATTCTCTGGTGATCTCACTCATTCTCTGGGCTCCCATTACTCAAGCAGTCAGGGGAGTACTTCCTGGGCCCTGGGCCAGTACTTCCAGTAGAGTCTCTTCCTGAGCCCCAGACCCTTGATCCAAGTGCCTGCTGGGCTCCACTTGGCTATGACCCTGACCCCTTGGCTGTATCTGAGACCACTGTCTTGCCCCTCACACTGGCTCCCCATGCTGTGGTCCCCTTCCCAGAGGTCTCTCCACCATCAAGACCCCAGAGACACATGGGAGTCTTTGTCTTCACCCTCTCTCTCCCCCTAATAGCTAATGATCCATCATTTCTGGTTCTTACCTCCAAGTTTTGGATCTATTTCCATATCCACTGGTCTAGTTCAGGCCTCTCCCTCTCTTAATCTGGACCCTGGCCTCCTAACAGGTCTCCCTGCCTCTGCCTGGTTACTTCCTATAATGGATGTCTGGCGGGGGGCGGGTGGAGTTGGGCTTTCTAGCATCCCTTATTCCACCCTAACAACGCTTGTTTAGGGAGATTTCCTGTTCCCTATTTTACGTGGCTGTGGTGGGACATGGGATGCTCTCTCACACAGAAGCCACAGAGGCCTCTCCTTCAGGTCTTGCCTCTCACCACCCGAGTCCTGTCAGAGGATGGAATGAGGCCCGAGCTCAGCCAGTTAGACCAAGGCTCCCTCTTGACTTTGGAAAAAATAGAATTCCTCAATGTCTAGGAGATACCACCAGGTAGTGGTGGTGAAGACCCTGAATGAAGCATTCAAGATTGTGCCCTATCCCCACCGACTTCAATGCCCATCATTCCGTCCCTCTATCCTGCCTCTCCGGGCCTTAGCTTCCTAACCTGTGAAATGGGACTAACGGTAGCTGTCTGCCTCACTAGGGGAAGGAAAGTGGGTTTGCCATGACCAGATGAGACAATGGTCACAACCTCACCATAAAAACTATAAAGAGCTGTGCCCACACCAGAGTGCAGAGTGCATTTCCTGAGACCCAGACAGCCTCACATACAGACAGCTTGACTCTTATTTCCCTGTTTGTTAATTCCTTGGTATTTGTCACAAAATCTTTGTGGTTAAAAAATTCTGAACCTCCATTTCAGACATTTGATTTCAAGCAGAAAACAATTATTCTGTCTCTACCTAGCTCGTTGCCTGTTGCTAGGTACCAAAAGGTACAAAAATGAATAAGACACAGCCCCAGACATCAGGCAGGATGAAACTACTGCTAATTAGAGCTGTAGTCAGTACTGGGAGGGCATAAAAACAACCTCCAGAAAAACACAGAGATCAGGTTACTTGGTAAAATGTACATGATTTAATTTTTCCCCTTTCCACGAACACAACTAATCCCTTCACCTATACACTTAATCCCACTGCTCCCGGGGCCCCGTTCATTACCTGTCCCTGCTCTTCTGTCCTCGCATAGCCCTCCTCCCTCCAAATGTCAGTGTGTAAGAAACAGCACCTTCTAGAAACTTCTGTCCTCTCAGGTCTCCCTTTTCCCTCCTGCTTTCTCAGCCAGTCTCCAGATCACCCCCACCCAGTTGGGCTTCTCCCCCTCCCCCAGAGTTGCTATGGCAGGGGTCCCCAAAGACCAGGTCCACGGGATGCTCTCACCTGCCCTGACTTCTGTGCATCTGGCACATAAATGGCCACCCTGACCTCTGGAAACTCTCTCCTCCCTGGGCTTCTAGGGCCCCCACTTTTTCGGTCCTCTCCTCCGGCCACTGCTTCCCAGTCTCCGCAGCAGCATCCTCTTCCTGCATCCATCCCTGAAGTGTCAGTCACAGCTCAGAGCCTGGCCCTGCTCCATGAACTCTGCACCTTCTCCTAGTTCTCCATCTGCCCCCTAGGGAGATGTCCACACTTCCTCTGTGAGCTCCAAACTGGCATGTAGACTTTCTTACTTGACAACAGCTCTAGTCAGGGTCACCGATAGCCATTATTCCTCCTTACCACCCATGCCCTTTGATCTTGCCTAAAGAGGACTTTAGGTAACAGCCCTTTCAACCTCTTTTCCATCATGTCTATCCTTGTTTCCTCTCAGCCCAGCCCAGAATTTCGTCCTGACTCAAATCATAGCCCTAGCAGCTTCTCCCCCATATTCCAAACTCCCCAGGACAGGTGCCATGCTGCCTGCTTTCCCTCCCCCTTTCACTTTCCTCTGCCCACCTTGTGGGGGCTTCTGACCCATCTCTCACAGGAACTGCCCCTGTGAGGATCTGGGCCCTAACTGCTCCATCCAGCGGGCCCTCAGTCCTTACTACTGCCCCTGTGAGGATCTGGGCCCTAACTGCTCCATCCAGCGGGCCCTCAGTCCTTACTACTGCCCCTGTGAGGATCGGGGCCCTAACTGCTCCATCCAGCGTGCCCTCAGTCCTTACTTAGCTGGCTTTTCTCTTTTGTTGGCTGATTATTCTCTCTTGGAAACGCTCCACATCCCTGGGTTTCCATGCCAACACAGGCTCCAGGTGCTTTTTCCATATCTTTCTGCTTTCTCTTTTGCCTTTGTGAGCTTTTCTTTCTCTCTGCCCACCCTTAAATGGGGGAGAGGTTCTCTGTCTTAGACCCCCTTTCTCTTCTCAGCTGCCACATTCTCCTAGGGCAGCTCACAAAAGTCCATGGCTACAACTGCCATCAGTCACAACCCAAATCTTTCATTCAAATCTCTGCTGGGATCCAAGCTCTCTCCTAGTTCCTCACAGGCCGTCTCCACCTGGATGCCCACCTTTCATTCAACTTGTCCAAAATTGAGCTCAACGATCCTCTTCTAGCCCCCCAGGCCTGCCCTTTCTCCTGGGTATTCTATCCGCCCAAGACACAAACAGGGGAGGCATCCTTGACTCTCTTTCTTTGACCCCAGCAACAGTCAGTCAGCAGCTTCTCCTAACTTTACCTTCTCTTCATCCTCTTGGCCCCCACCCTAATTCAGGCCTTGCCCTCTCTACCTGGACCAAAGCAATCATCTCCTCACTGGTTCTCACACCTCCAAATGTCTCCAAGTAACCAGAGTCATCATCTTAAAACAGAAATATTACCACGGCACGTGCCCACTCAAAATGCTTCAGTGACTCCCTGTTGTCAAGAGGAAAAAGACCAAACTCTTCAATTAGACAGTCATGGCACTAGGTGATCTGGTCCCGCCTTCTCCATCCCCTGCCTCTTATTTCACACTTTGGCAACCCTGTCTATGAGTTCATCCGTGATGCCTCTCACTTCTGTCTCTGCCCTCTACCTGAATAACTCCTACTCATCCAGGCACCTCTTCTAGGAACCTCCCTGGATACTCCCATAAAGCTGCACACTTGTACCACCCACCCCAGCTGCTCCATGCTTTGCATGTGTCCCAAGCATATCTCTGGCCTTCTTACTACATATCATTTTAGAATCTGTGTTTTTCTACCTCTTTGACTGTGTGCCCAAGAGCAGACAATATATCTTATTTATCTTCACATTTTAACACCCAGCACCATGCCTGACACAAAGTAGACACTCAATAAATGTTGTATAAATATATAGGCCATTTGCCCTTTCTTGAAACTTTCATCTCTCTCCTCTCTTTGACTATCATATTACTTTCCAAAATCTTACACCAATTCACATTCCCCTTCGCACTTAGTGCCTCTTCCACTGTACCCTCATCAGCATTGAGTATTCTTAAACATTTTTCCCCTAATTTGTTGGTGAAAACTAGTGCTTCTTTTTTGTTTTTTATCTTTGATCTTCTGTTATTAGTGAAATTGAATATTTTTTCAAAAAATGTTGTCAGTTCTATTTTCCTCTTCTGTAAGCTGTTTACATGAATTACATACCTATCTGTTGCATTTTCACTGTTAAGCTTCTGCGTGTGATCTTTTACACAGTATGGATCTGCAAATACTTTACCCACTCTGCCTTTTGGTTCTGCTTGTGATATTGTTCGACTTTGGAAATACTTAGTTTTGATGTATTCAAATTGGTCGGTCTTTGCCTTCTTGCATTTTGTTGCTTTTTAGCTTAGAGGGGCTCCCCTTTCAGACACTTTAAATATCCAATTCCTTTTCTCTCTGTTTGTCTTTTTTTTTCCTCTCTGGTTTTTAATGGGTTTATGTCTCCTTTCTGATCAAAAGTTTTTGAATATGGGGGTGTGCTCTGAGGTGAGGTTGAAAATGGATTATTATTTTTCTTTCAATAGTCAGAGTTCCAACTTTGGACAAGTCTTCCCCTTGTGGCTCTGACACTGAGCTAAGTTATTCCTGGCTGATTATGGCATCAGGGCCACAACATCCTCAGAGAGTATGCCACCTGGACAGGGAACCAAAAGGCTATAGGAAGGTATGATTCTAGACACAGTAACGGTGAATTGCAGGGAAGCATTTAAGGGGTGGCAGCAGAAAGTCCTGCAAGCCCTGCCAGGACAGTGTGCGGAAAGACGGTTCACCCACTTTGCCAATATGAGTGGCTGAATCTAGCTGGCACCCAACAAACAGTCCTGGAAGCTTCTGACTCTGCAAGGATATGTTACTCGGGGACCACAAGGGAGGGACAGCCCAACCCCTCCCCTCGCCTGTATCAACCTACCTGCATAGACTCTGCCAGGACATTTCACCATCAGCAAAAAAATCTCTCAGCCAGTTCCTGCCACGTTCAGCTTCCAGGGGGCTGCAGCCATCGATTCTGCCATGCTCCAAGATGTGGACTGACCCAGATCCTGGGGTCACCATGCCCCTTGTCCAATTACTGTTCTGGGTACCAGGGCATCTGAGGGTGATGCTAGAGCTAGAAAGGAACTCAAGGATTATCTAGTCCAACTGCTTCATTTTACACATGGGGAAACTGAGGCCCAGGGAGGGGAGGTGATTCACAGCCACCTGTTGCCACAGGAAGGATATCAGGCTATAGAGCCTTTTACAAGGTTCTTCTCACGTATCTTTTGTGACGTATTAGTGTCTGTGATATCTGTGTGTAAAATATGACCCTAGAGGCTGGAAAATACTGCCACTTCGGAGTTGCCAAGAGGAGACTTGGGAGGCACATCGAATTCCCTCACTTCTAGGAGAGTGAGGGCCACTTAGCTCCTTAGGGAGTCTAGAGATTGACTGAGCCTTCCACCCATCCACGGCCCTGGCCAGCCAACCAGCAGGTTCTATCCAGGCCTGGTCAGGCAGGTGCTGTGCCTGGTCAAGGGACAAAGATCAAGCCCCCACCCTCAAGGGTGGTTCAGGGCTTTGACAGCCAAGCTGAGTCAGGACCACAAGCAACAGGGAACCAAGGAAGGGTTATGTTTGTCTTCCTCCCTCAGAGACCCTCCCAAGTCTGCTTTGACTCTAAGATTCTTGACACTTCTGCACCCCAGAGATGTAAAGTTTATTCTTTAATGCAAAAAACCCTTTTGATTAAATGCTTGCTTGTCTTAACATACTTTCTTTCAACCAATACCTTTAAGACTGAAGTAACAAGGATAAAGTTCACTGATATTTCACAGAAGATGGCTTTCGAAACGTTAAAGACTTCCTGGGCCAACCCCTCCTAGGTGAACAGATGGGCGTTGGGGGGCGGTGCCTGGAGAAGAATGAGCAGAGGAGAGCAAGGTCACGTGGCAAGGGGGTGGGGATCAGGCCCAGGGCCTCAGCTCCCCGCCCTGCCCTAGAGGGCGGCCACTAGCAGTGTGGGGCGGGGATCAGCAGAGTTTAGCTTCAGAAGAAGCAGTGAGGCGTCCCCCTGTAGACCTTCCACAGGTTGTCCAGGAAAAGAGGTGAGAGGCCAGAACCGCTCAAAGGGTTAGTCTGTGGAGAAGGTTCGTGCTTACCCCGTATCTGACAGGGCACTCTCAAAACATCCCCGCACCAGTTCCTCATGAGGAGGAGGCCGAATGGGCAGTGATTTCTTTCCAAGAGGGAAAAATCCATGGACCGTCCTAGGCGAGCTGGTGGCCAAGCAGGGATGCAAAGCCAGGGTTCTGGCCTCTCAGGAAAGAGCACCATCTAGGTGTTCCTCTCCCTTTTAGGATCTTGTCATTTCGGGGCTTGTAAAAAATAATTAAGGGAATTCATGTTGAGGTGCTGACATACGGCCTCGCAAATGAGGTCTCTCCCTAACTCCACACAGCCCCAATGACACAGCACAGTAATCATGCACCTGCAGGACTGCCTCGATGCCCTCCCCGCTGCTGCAGGAGCTCCTCACGGAGGGCATGGTCTTATCAGGTTCTGGGCTGGGCGCAGGGCCTGGCAATGCTCCTGCAGGAATGAATGAATGGGAGAGCTGGACGATCATACCACATCCCTATGAAGCCTGAGCCCAGTAAGGGTCGGTGGAGGGTGGTAGGGCACAGAAGAGAGGCAGTAACATTTGTGAAGACTTGGCCTTGAGCCAGGCTACAGGGGGTGTTACCATCTCTATTTTGCCAGTGAGGAAACTGAGGCTCAGGGATGTGTGGTCGAAGAGGTGGGGGCATAGGGCCCGGGCTCCCTGAAACCTTGTCGCTCAAGGTTTGTCGGTCCTAAAGTGTTCCCCAAGTCCCCGCCCACTGAGTCCCGAGAGGGAGACCCAGGGCTTCTGTCTGAAGCCTCCAGCTGCTGCTCAGCCAGCTCCTCCCCTTCATCTTGAGCCCGCTCTATAATCAAAGTTTTTCTCGCGATGTGGAGTTCTCTCCCTGAAGCCTGGCAGACCAAACTCTGCCCCTCTTCTGGCTTTTAGTCAGGATCACCTTCCCTGGCTTGCTGAGGGCAGCACTGCTTAGTTCCTCCCTCTTTTCAGAGCAGTGACCCTTTCTCCCTTTAGGGGGCTGGGGGATGAGGGGTGAGCTTTGCAATAGATGCCAGGAGACTGGGTTCTGGCTCCCGCAGCCAACTGAACACAAGGGATGACCCCTCCCTGACCTCACTTCCTGCAGCTATTCAATGGGAGTCTCTCATCTTTCTCTGTCCTCCCTCCCCAGCCTGCTCTTTCTCCTGCCTTCCCCTCCTCACCCACCATGGCTCCTTGGATCTACTTCTCCCCATTCCCAATGATCTAGACAGGGCAGTGACCTTCTTGACAGTCCTGCTGCTGTTACTGCTCAAATGCTATCCTGTTCCCTACTGAAAAAAATCCCACCTTAAATTAAATGCTGTTCTGATTGGGTCACCCCCTACTCCCATCAGATCCTTGTCTGTGATGGTTCCAGTCAGTTGGAAACTGAAGACTTCTCACTCAGGACTGAGTTTGGGGGACCGCCACCAACACGTCAACCTTCAACCCCCCTCACTATCTCCCAATACAGCCCTCCAGGGCAGCCAGATACTGGTGGTCCTTCATTTTGCTTTCAGCCCAGTTTCTTCAGCTGTAAGCAGAGATGCTTGATTAGATGGTGAGAAATAACATCTCATTTGTTACTTCACTGCTCCAACATTTACACTTGTCCTCAGGTCTCAGCCTGAACATCAATCCTCCCCAGCCCACACCAGGTCCCCCCTAGACCACTCTTAGGGCACCTGCCACAGTCCATATTATATCTATCTGTGGGATTTTCTGCCCAAGGTCATCCCCTTTCCCATTAGCTTGGATGACTCCCTGATGGCAGAGATGGTCCACCCTGTCCACTGTGTGACCCCAAGGCCTGGTCCTGTACAGGATTCTGACAAGTACCTCGGATTAAATAACAATGCAAGCCCCCTAGGAAGGTCGGGGGAGCCCAATCACTGCGAAAGAGAAAGTCTGCATGACCACTAGCACTCAACAGAGGGCTGAGTGAAGTCATCTAGGCAACTGGATCTTTAGGGAGAGGGAAGAGTCCAGGAAGGCTTCCTGACAGAGGCATATCTAGGCGCATGTGGTACAATCATTAAAGTATAAGGCAAATGCAGGCTGCCCTGCAAGGGCAGTGACACCTTCCCAGAGCTCAATCACCTTCCTCAAATGCATCCAGGAGGACCCGAAGATCCTCAGAGAAAGGATTCCCAGTATATTAGGGGTAGGAAGACTGTGTTTGCTCCAAAGCCCACATCTTACCTACAAGGAAACTGAGGCGCAGAGCAGGGCACAGACCAGTTCCTAAAGAAGCCCAGACCTAGGCCTCATGGGATCTTGTGGTTACCAGGTACCACATGAGCAACACTAGGAACCACGGCGACTGGCAGAATTGCAGGGTGTGGTTTTCTAAGACCTGGTACCCTGCTCTTTTCCAGAAGAGGTATCCACTTCTCATTTTCCTGAAAGGCATCTCAGGCAGAGGGGGCAGGGTGCTGCTGGTGCTGCCTCGGCAGGTGGAGAGCAGTGCTGGGCAACAGAACGCCGATGTGACATCACCTTGGGAAAGGGTGGGCTGCAGGCTCCCTGCTGCAAAGGGCCACAAATCTTTCAGAGGGAGGCCTGTTTGTGACTCTTTAGTGAGCTTGACCTATGACAGAAAGCTGCTTTCTGAGGGAGAGCAAAGTAAGCAATAATCTTGGCTTCATTTATCATCCAGGTGCCTCCACAGGAGAGCGTGGCCACAAAAGCCTTGTTTGTTTGTTTTGTTTTTGGAATTTGCAGTTGTCTATTTTCTTAAGTCTTCCCACTAGGCTAGAGTCATGCGCTCCTGGAGAGTCAGGCCTGGGTCTTGCCCCTGAAATCCCCAGCAAGCCCAGTACAGGGACTCAATGTTTGCTGAACAAACCATCCTTTCCACGTGTAACACTCCTCAACTCGTCAAGACTTTGCTGAACCACAAAATACATCCAGAAACGCAGAAAAAAAAAGAATGCAGAGGTAAAAACACAAAAGCATCAGATAGGGAAAATACCCAGCAGATATAATCAATAAGCTTGGTTCTCTGAAAACACCTTCAAAATGAACCAACCTTTGGCAAGTTTTGACGAAGAAAAGGAAAAGCACTGATAGGCGATGGTAGGAATGAAAAAAGGGATACACACTGACAATGGGGAGATTGCAAAGGGCAGGAGAAAACTACACAAAACTTCATAGCAATAAATTACCAATCTAGGTATAACAGATGACCTTTTATGAAACAACCCAAGCCCTTTTACAACAATAAACTCTGACAACAGCCCTGTGCCTTGGACAGGCAGTGTTCCTGTTATGTTTTCTAGAAGGAGAAGAGATGGAGAGGAGGACACCCAGCACAGGGCCCTGGCAAGCCACCCAGCTTTGTCTCAAAGGTCACGGCCATGGGAGCACGTGCACATTGACGGCACAGAACCACGCCAATCCCGCACTTCCAGCCATCGCCCGGAGCCCCCTGCGTGGACGGCCAACCTTATTTATTTTTCCACTTGAAATGCCATAAGGGGTTTCACTTTATTTTTACTTCAAAAGCAGCACCATAAAAATTCTTGATGATTAGAGCTCCAGCTGTCTTAAGTTGTTTGTCAAGGGATCGGTTACTCAAATCTCCTACGGAGGGAAACAGTTTCAGGCGAGAAGCCATGGGAGCTGAGAAACGCAAATGTCTCATCTCTGAAAACTTTCAGACTCCCTCCTGTTCACCGCCTGGCCTGCCCCCTGCTCCCCCTCCCCCAATCCCACCATCTGCTCTCCAGAGAGCAGATCAAATTTTCAGCCTAAGGTACTGTGGCGCCAAGGACTCAGCCCCTCCATGCTACCCCCTGCCCCCCACCAACTTAGAAATCCAACACCACGACCCAAATGGACTGCAGCCACATAAAACCACAGAGTAAAGTTTATAAAGCTTTATTAAACATTTCAAACAGCTGTGCAACGAACACACCAGAAATAAAAGCTCCAGAATAGCAGTCCAAATGTTCCACAAGTGTGGCCCCGCAGTCCCATCCCCTAGATGGACTGCCTCCAGTTCTGTCCTCTGCCTGGCCCACCTCCCTCCCCCTTCAGGCAAGAGAAAGATGGATGGTTTAGACTGGAAGGACAACCATGCTGATCCCCAGCGGGCAGGGGCCAGGAGACAGTCTCATGTGCCAACACTTTTACTGAAGCGCAGAAAAAGAAAAAAGCAAGTGACAGTCACAAAGTCTTCCCGTGTATTCTTCGTAACGTATACAGTCTATACGCGCAGGACCGGAGAAGCTCCTGGCACGAGGACGATGGCCACCGCTCCCCTCTGTCTCGTCTGAACCACCTCGGAGTCCAGTGCGCTGGTCACTCTGCAATCCCCATACTAAATACCAACTGTAGCGGCCCCTACAAGCTAGCTATTGCTACACCTCAAAATCACAACACGTTCGATAAAGCTTCTTTAAAAAGGATGTACACATGTACTTGTACACGTACGTATACACACACGCGCACACACAGCACACCACACCAAAAAATATCCAAACACCTATCAGGGGATCGTGGCTGTTATGAAACACACAAGTACTCTCCCATTCACTCAGCTGGGGACTGCTAGATCTACGTAAACACACCACACATCAATCCTGCAGAGCATGCATGGGAGACAAAATGAGGCCCCCTCCTTGCGACAGTTGAGAAAGGCAGGAGGAAGGGCAGAGGAAGCGAAGCTGGGCTGCTGAGCAGGAGCCCAGACTCCCAGGTGAAAGAGCAACATGTATCTGTTACTTCTTCCTTCAAAATGAAGTGGGGAAAATACTGAAGATTTGTGGACAGCAGTCAAGACACAATTCTGTCTAGCCTGCCGGCCAGGGAAGAAGAATGAAAAAGCGAGGCTCTCGGGCATCAGCAATCTCTTTATATTCGAGATAAGTGCAAAACTGAGCCCTGTCTTGGACAGGTGCTCCCCAAAAAAGGGCTAAAGAGAACTAACAGGAAGCCAAGAGAGGGACGGAGGAGTCAGTAACACTCTGAGAAGGGAGGAACCCCTGACAAGGAAGGGTCACAGAGGTGACAATGAGGCTGGCATTTTATCTGCCCGGATCATGCTGGGGCAGTTGACCAGGATGGGTGCAGGCTCCTCGTGGGAATGAGGCGAGGGGGGTGGCCATCCTGCCAGTCAGGGGCCAAGATGGGGACAGAACACACACAACCACAAGACCACCCACGACTACAGGACTCTACGATAAAAGCACCGGTCAGTGCTATTATTCACATTATAAGGATAAAATGTCACAGGCCAAAAAGGCGCCATCAGGAATGTGGCACCCGCAGGGCCGCGGGATTTGAAACTCCAATGCTTTATGACCTATGTCAATGCCTCCCCTCCCGTCTTCTGCTTCCTTGGAAAGCTAACTGGGCTGGCTGTTAGGTGCCCACAACGCCGGGGTCGTGTGCCGATTCCGGAAGCGGGGAATCGGAACAGTGGTACAGGAAACAGTTTCCCCAGCAGCTATAGCAGATGAGGAACAGGGCTGCCAGGAAAACCAAGGCACAAATTGTGCAAGGCTTCCGTTCCAGGAGGAAGCTGAGCAGGTAGAAGCCCATGAACATGGAGTGGCTGAACCACAGGGCGGGGTTGAGGGGCTTGGGGATGAGGAGGACGGGCAGCAGCCACTGGAGGCAATACATGATCTCTGCTGGACAGGGCCTTCGCCAAGGCCACCGGGCACCGCTGCAGGAACCGACCTAATGGGAGCCAGCGGGCGCGGGCGGCTGCCCTCTGCTTTCTTCAACCCTCGCTCTCCAGGAGCTGAGCCGCTGTGGTCTCTGGCTGTCAGCCCGGGATCACCAAGGCAGCAGGGATCCTGAAGAGAAAAGTCAACACAACAGACAAACAGACACGGAACAGACAGACAAAAAAAAAAAAAAAAAAAAAAAAACAGGAACAGAATGTATACTTATTTGGAAAAATGGATCATGGTTAACAACAGCAAATGTGAATGCCCTTTCCTCCCTGCCCACCCATGGAAGTCTACTCCTCTCCAAGTCACCCTTTCCAGAAGCATCCTGGGTGTCTCCCCTTCTTGGGGGCTAGGCCAGAGGGCTCTAGGCAGGTCCGGCACAGTGGCCTGGCTTTGCCTGGGCCCTGCCCAGCAGAGATCATGTATCGCCTCCTGGGGCTGCGGCCCGTCCTCAAGGGACCCAGACCTCACAATACCGCCCTGTGGTTGCCACCGGACGGCCATGGGCTCCATGCTGTGACCCCTGAGGAATAAGAAAAGGGTTCTGTATCTAGTATCTCTCACAGCAGTTGCTCAGTGGAGAGTTAAAGTAGTTAGCGGCGCACTGCCGGCGGGAGATTGCCGGCAATGGATCCTTGCAAGCTCTGGGAAGGCGCGCAGCAGCATCACCGAATATTTTGTTTTAAGATGGCAGCCTAGAATGAGCTTGCCTTTTTCAAATAATCCGGCGTCATTTTGCTAAAATCGGCCAACTTCTTCGAAAGTCAATGTAGGGGGAAAAAAAAATCACCATGCTACTTAGTCCAAACTGACCTCTCTGGGTTGACTTGTGCTCTCCATCTGCTGCCGGCACTGTATAGAACTTGACCTCAATGAGCTTTTAATCAAAATTAATTTTCTATCCACATAGGGGCAAATGCCAGTTGGCACCTGTGCCAGGCAGATTGCTGGAGAGAAATGGTGCTCTCGAGCAGCGGGCCACCGGTGCGCCAGGGCCGCGCTCGCAGACCGCATTCCGGTCTTCGTGCCGCGCCAGGAATCGGAGCGGCGGCAGCCACGACCCTCTGGCGGCGGTAGCAAAACCCTCCTCCAAGCTCCAGACACCCAGCGCAGCGGGTACAAAGAACCTCGCTGGCTGAGGAAGACCTACCAGCGCCTGGGGGGTAGGGGAGCAGAGGTTGAATTACCCGCCTAGCAGAATACTATCCCAGAGCGCATTCAGACCACTTCTTTGGAGAGCTCATCCCATCCCTTCCGTGCATACAAAGGCGCCATCCCTCCTACAGGGTAGACACCCGATGACTATCGCTTTTGCACCTAGGGCTCAGTGCCCTGGCTCGGCTCCCTACAGCTGCCACCGCTGTAGATCTAGCAACGGGATGTAGATCTAGAAGCGGGATGCGGGCATCAGGGAAAGGTTCCGCGCTCAGAGGCTCTCGCAAAGCAGAGGACGTGGTCTTCTAATACATCGAAAATTAGAAAAAGAGTGCTGAGCGGGGGGCCTGTGAAGCCAAGGCTTCTGGAAGGGGCACCTGTTTTTGCTCCGCGGGGCAGATGATCCCTCTCTAAATTAGGTCCCTCTGCTTTTCCATCCTTGCCCAGGTGTGATCTGGCGTGGGACCGGACACTGGGCTCGAATTTGCAGGCCCGGGCTTGGAGAGATGGGCTCCGCTACTAAGGGGCGCGCACCCGTACTCTCACCCTATGCGCTAACTCAGAGTTGCATTTCCCCTCCATTTTACATTAAAATTCAAATGCGGGCACAGCGGAATCTTCTGGAAAGGGGCTAAGATGAACTCAGGAGGCGGGGGTCGGTGTGGAAAGAACAGATGGATTATTTTTTTTTCCTCTCCTGACGAATGAGGGGCGCCCCCGGCCACCCCTCCTCACGGACCCCCCCCCCCAAGCGCGCATGCGCACTTGGGCGGTGGGCGGATACTTAAGGCGCGGCCACCGCGGCTGCGGCAGTGCGCCCAACAGCGGACTCCGAGAGGCGAACGGACCTCGGAACCGGCAGCACTCGCTCTCAACCACCCACCGACCACTCTCGGAACCATGGCGGCAGTGGCGGCAGCCTCGGCTGAGCTGCTCATCATCGGCTGGTACATTTTCCGCGTGCTGCTGCAGGTAAGTGTGCCCGGGTGCTGGGTGGGAGAGGGTCGCAACGTGCGCCCCCTGAACCGGCAAGCCCGCGTCACAATTGCCGCATCCCGACCCGTCCTGTCCTGATTGCCGCGATCCCTGCCCACCCAAGTGCCGCGGCCGGCACCGCACGCCCCCGCCCGTCCCCTGCGCCCTCCTCCTTGCGTAGACCCTTCCCAGTGTGCCCGCCCGGGAACAAAGAGTTGGGGCGCGGCGGGCGCCAGCCGCGGACGATCGCCGAGGCTCTTAGCGACCAACGTGGTAAGAAAATACCGCTACGTGAGACTCGACCCCAGGAGGGAGGCGGGGCACTTCTGTTTTGCGAAAAGAGACTTTACCGCTCACACAGCGGAATCTTTCCGCCTTAAAAAAATTGCGCATTGCGGGGAAATTTTCCTTTAGAAAATATAGTACTTGCGGGGGTGGGACAAAAAATAAGTTAGAAAAAGGCACTTCTCAGGGGAAAGGGAAAAACAGCACTCCGCAAACAAGATTATAACAAATCAGAAAAATTCGCGGGAAAAAATGAATTAGAGAAAATGCGCATTGCAGGAAGAATAAATCAGACAAAAGCACTTGGCAGAAAAAAATGCATTAGATAAAAAGCGCCTTGCAGAAAAAATATTAGACAAAGGAGCTAACAAACTATGAATCGATAAGAGCACTCTGAAGAAAACAATTAGAGGAAAAGGTTCTTTGCAGGAAAAATAGAACAGAAAAAAAGCGCTTCCGAAAAAGGACAGTTCGCTTTATTAAAAAAAAAAAAATCAAATAGAGGCAAAGCGCTTCGTGTAAAAAGAAATAAATCAGAAGAAATTGCTTTGCCCATAAAATCATCTACCCTAAAAGCACCCCTTGCAGGAAGAATTCCCTGCTAAAGGAATCCTTTGCCAAAGGAATCGCATATTTCCTTCAAGGTGTTCCTGGAATGCTGCATTTACTGGGTAGGATTCGCTTTTCGAAATCCTCCAGGGACCCAGCCCATTGCGAGAAGTGAGGTATACCTAAGTTGTGGGTCCAATCAGCTTGCGGCCATGCAGCCTTCAGCACAGTTGGAAAAGCTCCAGCTGCCCTGACTCGTGGACAAGCTGCGCCCGCACCCGCCTCTCCTCATTGGACAGGCGGGCGGGGCAGGGGGCAGGGGGCGGGGCGGGGGCGGGCACGGCAGCACTACAGACACGCTGCGGGGTGCTCGCCTCTAAGGGCAGGTCCTGGGTCTCTCTCTCTCCACAGGTGTTCAGGTACTCCCTGCAGAAGCTGGCGTACACCGTGTCGAGAACCGGACGGCACGTGCTGGGAGAGCGCCGCCAGCGGGCCCCCAACTGAGGCTCCAGCCCCCTCCCCTGGGCGGCCGTGTCACCAGGTGCTCCTGTGCAGTTCCACCAGCATGGGAGCCAGTGCCGCGCAGGAATGGGGCGTCCCCTGTGCCCTCTCGCCAGAGGAGCACTTGCCAAGGTCAGTGAGGGGCCGGTAGGCCCCCGGAGAAGCAGCACCGACAATGACGACAACACCAGATCCCTTCCCCACCCCTTTGCACCCTTCCTACTGCGGGTGGCGGTAGAGGGAGGAGGGGGGAATGGGGGGAGCAGACCCCTGAGATCTGGGCACAGGCAACGCATTCAGATCTGGACCAAGTCGGGACAGCGCCATCCCAGCCCCACAGCCACGGCCATGCCAGCAGGCCGCACCACAGAGATCCAGACAACCACACCAGCCAGCAGAATGGACATTCCAACTTCACCAGCCGAAGCCCTGAATCTCCGTGCAGCAGACAAGTGACAACTGCGTGCCTGTGTGGCGGGGCTGGAGGGCAGAGGGTGAGGGAGGAGGTTTAAGAAACAGAGCGGGGCCCTCTCACTGTCCCTTGCCTACGGCATGTGCATTCCAGCCTTGCTGCCTTTGCTCCCTCAGTTCCTCTTTCGCCCCACTCCCACCCAAAAGAAATGTGTCACTCAATTCGGACCTACTGAACAAGAAAACGAATCCCATCTTTACCAAAACACCTTCTCCAAGCCCCCAACCCCTCACTGATCTTGCATCCCCCAGGTCTCATGCAATTGTGGTCAATATTGTGGTAATTGCTAATTGTAATGATTGTATAAGTGTGCATTAGTTGTGTCTCCCCGGCTAGATTGTAAGCTCCTGGAGGACAGGGACCGCCTCTACAAAAAAATTAAAAAAAGTACCTCCCCTGTCTCGCACAGTGTCCCAGGACCCTGCGGGGCGGTGGAGGCGCACCAAAAAGTTTTGTCTCCTGTGACTTCTTTTCCGGCTTCAACACATACTTCTAAGACTGGGCTGATGTGCACTGTACTTGGGGGAGGGACGGAGCGGAAGCAACAAAATGGGAATAAACCTTCACACACCCAGTTCCATCTCAACACTGTCCTGAGATAAAGGACCGCATGCCCGCACCACCACCCAAAGAAAAAGGTGGACATCTTCACTTGCGGTCTCGGAATAAGGCACCACTTATACCTCCCCAAAGGTGTGGGTGCCTTCAGTTTTCCTGGGATAAGGGGCTTTGGCAAGTAATCAGTGGGAAAGATGGAAGGAGGGAGAAGATAGGAGGGGGGAAAGTGGGAAGAGCCCTCAAAATGGAGGTACTAGGGACCAAGAGGGTGATCAGGAATTCAGAACACAGTCTTATCTCCATCCAAGATCCCCAAAGAAATGAGCAGGGCGGGTGGGGGAGGGTGGGGGGGGCACTGGTTTGGACAATGACTATGGGGTAAAAGGTGTGGTGTGGCACCTCCCCCACCCAGCTCATCCCTCCCAGCCCTATCACCTCTACCAGAACCACTACAAGGGCATCCTGCCAGGCCCGCCTACTTTCCCAGGGTCTCCTCCCCCACCCTCAGGAACCTCTCTCCAGCTCACTCTCCCCACTACTGGGTCCTCTGCTTCTCCCAGCACGAGCCTCCATATCCTTAAGGGTGCTTACCAGGTCCCGGGCCCTGGGCTCTCCCCTGCCATCATGCCAGGGTGGTAGGGTGGGCTGCCTGCTCGGCTCCCAAGTTCTCTCTCCCACTCCTCAGTGAGTCAGGGCTTCTTTTACGTGGGGTCAGCTGACTGCCTCACCAAATGGCCCTGCCGCCTGTTCAGCCTTGTCTCTGGCTTTGTGTGCCCCTGTCACCACACACCTGTTCCTGGGTCAACATCCAGGGCGTGAGTTGGAGGGCTATAAATCTTTCTGCCACTTCCTCAAATCCCTTAGTCACAGTTGTCACAAACAATTCTGGAGCACAAAGGACCTCAATCCCTTGAGCCTGATGTTACCCGCCCCTGCGCTAGGGTCCTAGCGTTTCTCAGCCCAACCACTAGCACCTTTAGAGGCACCTATAACTTCAGTTCAAGATAAGAGAATTATGGAGGTGGAGGGTGTAGACCTCAATTCCAGTATTGGCTTTGCCATCAGTCAGCCCAGGGAACCCGGTCAGGTCACTCCTAGCCACCCTCGGTTCTCCTCTGTAAAAGGACTGCTAAGATCCCAGTGAACCCCAACATACTAGAAACATTCTGCCATCAAAGTGGCAATCAGGACTCAATGGGACTAGGCTGCGGATGGGCGATCGGAGCCTCATCTTCCTCAGGCTGGGTGGTTCCAGCCCCTACCGTAGCCTATGGGTGGGGTAGGTCTCCTCTTGCCCCAGGGTGGTGCAGCAGCAGGCAATGCCCACACCTCCCTTCTGAAGCCTGTATCTTGGCAAGCCTCAAGACTGGGAGTTTCTGTGGTTTTCCACACTAAATGCAGAGAACCATGAACATATTTCAACATGTGTTCTCAATAAAGGGTGCCCCTCCCCTCAGAGCCCTCAAGGGGTGTATGTACCCACGGCCCCAATGCCCCAGATGCTCTAATCTCAGCCCAGTTATAAGGTAGCTGGGTTCAGGGGGACAGGCTGCAGCAGCATTGAAGTGTCTGGCTGCTCTCGACACTGTAGGTCCCCTTTTAAAAGGCAGGAGGCTGCTGGCAGCCCCAGGGCTTTCCAGATGATCTTGGCAAAGCCCAACTGCAGGGCTTTCTCCATCCATCCATCAGCAGGGCTCTGAGTGTGGCATGATGAAATGACAGACTTCCAGGCAAGGGCTGCCCTGATGGGCTGTACCTGCATGGGTGGCTTGAATGTGCAATGTCCACTCCCCCCTTTCATGCCCCATCCAAACCCTCATGTTATGGCAGGAAACACAGTCCACCAGAGAAGATGGAAGGAATGTGTTCACTTTCTATTCCTGTGCAATGCTTAGAAGTCTAGTCCAAACACATCTTATTTATAAAATTTTTTCCAGAAGCAATACCATTAAAACATTTTATTCTGATAGAGAGCAACAAAAAGAGTTGAAAATGACTACCGTTTTGTTGCAAAGCCCTTAGTCCACAGGCCCCCCCTTTGCTTAAATTTTCTCTACCACATCCTCAAGACTTTGCCCCCACGAGGCCAAGGATAGAGCAGTTGAGTTATGAGGGAACTGGAATGGGTTTGTGAGACTCCAGCAACAGGCAAGACTCTTGGGACTAATGCCCCCAAAGGATGTTAGTTTCTTAGCCTAACCAGTTGAGGTTAAACCGCAGAGGGGTTTAGGTACCATGACTGTCGGAAGTGTGTGGTGCTATGTGACACTGTTACCTCTACCTGTGGAATATCTGGATTGCGAATGAAGGACAAGTTTCTTGAGCTTCCGCTGCAGGACAGCAACAGCTTATTGCATGTGGGTTGGGTTGGGTTGGATTGGATGAGGGAGCAGGTGTGCTGTGAGTCATTTGCTAGACATTTATTTTCAAACTTCTATCTACTCAGAAGCCAGTACCCTACAGTGAGATTCTGAATTTGCAGTGAGTTTTCCCCCAGAGATTTAAACGTGCACATATATACAAAACATTAGTCTAACAACAGCCTCTTTTTCCCTGGAGACATCTGATTTCCTCTATATGCCCCAGAGACATGTCACCATCTTCTCTGGTTATGATCCTGCTTCCCCTCCGCCTCCTTTTCTCCCTCCCACGGGGCCCATTCCCCAGCAGGATCCAGATTCCAGAGCATTCCCAGAACAGGAAGTCAGAGAGGCAGGCAACACATGGTCCTTGGTATATCATACAGCGACAGGCTTGAAATGGAATGCATATGTTTCAAAGATAAGAGAACAACAACAGAAAAAGACAGCCAAACCCAGCCTTCCAGATTCCTCTTTGAAACAACATGTTACAGATAAAAGGTTAAACTGTTTTTGGCAGCAATTCTAACAAGACCAATTTCAGATATGGAAGTGATCTGGTCACTGGAAACCGACCAGGGCTCGGCAATCTTTCAACAGATTTGCTGACATTAATTAGTCTCTGATTTAAAACAAACAAACAAACAAACAAGATCTAACACCTGGCATTAGCACTTAAGCTGGAACTTGTGTGTGTGTGTGTGTGTGTGTGTGTGTGTGTGTCCTGGCTTTAGTGTTGCCGTCCAGAAGGCTGAGGGGATGGCTGTACCATGTCAAGCAGGGCAAACAGAAGCTGTCCCCAAAACACCAGTTCCCTGAAAGGGATAAAACATGATCCGAACCTATAAACAGAAAGGCCGTTTCTTTCCCAGGACAGACCCCAGTCTGCCCCAACATTTAGCGTTGAAAAGGGACACGGAGGCCTGGAAGGAAATTAAATAAGGTGTGGAAGAGGGAAGGAAAAAGAAACTGTCCCCCATCCCCCATTCTTCTCTCCAGGCCATTAGTGTGCCAGGCAATCCATTCCTTCAGCTGCCCTTGAGGGCCACTCCCCACATATATTGTAGGAAAGGGAACGGGTGTCCGGACTTGGTGTAAAATTAGAGAGAGTAAGAAGCACCCGCGACCCAAAGCAGAGCGTCAACCTATCACCCCAGACACCAAGGCGGGGACCCGGGGAGGGAGACCCTTTTCTCTCCTCTCCCCCACGCCCCTTCTGGTTTAAAAACAAACAAAAAAAAGGCAACTTAAGTGGCGGGGACAGAGTGACAGGCATCTCAGAAGCTGGGCCCCCTGCCACGGGCACCGGGGCCGGAGAGAAGGTTGTCGCACCCCCAGCCCCGAGCTCCCCAGCTCTGCCTGCCCCATCCCAGAAGCAGACAAGCGAGTGCTGACCTTGGAGGCCTGAACGAGAACCCAGGAGTCCAGTACCCTGCCCTCGGGCCACGAAGAGACCCCCAAGGCCCAGGCTGGGGGCCAAACAGGGCAATCACGTGACACCGGACAGGGGCGGCCCCCAGGGTGCGCGGAAGGAAAACCCCAGAAAGGGACCGGACGACGCCTAAGGTGACCCCGAAGGGACAACATGGCGGCGCGGCCGCATTGAGGGCCTCTCATCCCGCCCCCAGGAGGCCGACGCCACGGTACCTGCGAGCCCTGCCATGGCGCCGCCGCCACCGCTGACGCCTTCGTAGCCGCAGCCTGCCACCACCTCAACTCGCCTCCGACGCCGCAGGAAGCAGGGGAGACGCCCCCTTCGTCTTCTAGTCGAGCCGACCGAGGACCCCTCCTGGGATCGGGCTGCCTACGGCAGATGCCTGATAATACGACCTAAATTGGGGGGGATCTTCTATGCCCGATATCCTCCTAACGTGTGCCACAGATGACCATTTGAAGACTTTTTGCTAACGTGTTCAGAAATCTGGGGGTTCTGAAGTCTTCAGATCCGAAGAATTTTTGATCAGGCGCATCCAGGACAGCCCCGAATCACGCCCCTCCCCCCGCCTTGGTCCCCTCATACATATGCAGTAGATTGTGATCTTTACACATTTAGAGCGGAGGGGGCGTACCCTAGTCTCTGTAGGTGAACGTTTGTTCGCTTTGGTCCTCGTGGATGACCCGTGTAATCTGTGAAAACGTTCCCGTGGCTCAAAGTCCGCCTCCTCCCTGGCCCCTTTACCAAGGCCAAAGGTCAGGAGCGGAAATATTCCGGCTCAGAATTTAGGATTTGACTTGGGTCAGGACCTGACTCTTCTTCTTGCCCTGTACTTTAGGCGAGCCACTTGCCCACCCCGACTGTTAACTTCCCCGAATCTGATGAAATGCCTACTTCACAGGGTTGTTATAGGGATTAAATGAGTCAATGTATCGATTTATTAGCTAAATAAGCACATTCCTTGAGCGCTTACTGTGTGTAAATGCAGTGCTAAAGGCAAGAGGATAGAATGGAGCGTGAAATAGGCGCTGTTCTAATTCAAGGAGATGCCCGGCTACTGGGGGAGAGTGGGGGAGGGGTGGAAAAGCAATCATCAAATTACTTATATGTGCAATCTAAAATATGACACAAATGAACATATGTACGAAACAGACTCATAGAGAACAGACTTGTGGTTGCCAAGGCGGAAGGGGTGGGGGAGGGATGGATTGGGAGCTGGGGATTAGCAGGTGCAAACTATTATACTGTATATAGAATGGATAAACAAGGTCCCACTGTATATAGCACAGGGAACTGTGTTCAATATCCTGTGATAAACCGTAATGGAAAAGAATATGAAAAAGAAATGTATATATAGGTATAACTGAATCACTTTGCTGTACAGCAGAAATTAACACAACATTGTAAAGCAACTATACGTCAATAAAATAAATTTTTTAATCATCAAATGATCACTATCTGTTAATAATTTAAATCAAATCAATATATAATTATGCATGATGGGAAATGCTGTGGGGGAATATGAAGAGTGCTATGAAAAATTAATGGAGGGGAATTCCCTGGCAGTTCGGTGGTTAGGACTCCATGTTCTCACTGCCGAACGCGCGGGTTCGATCCCTGGTTGGGAAATTAAGATCTTGAAGGCTGCGTAGTCTGGCCAAGAAAAAAAATTAATGGAGCCCTCATGTAGTGCGAAGGGTAAGGGTGGAAACTCCTTGGGAAGCTGGCATTTAGGCTTAAAAACCAAAGATAGTTTTGTAGGGCAAGAGTGAGAGGGGAAATGTTGTAGGCAGAAAGAACCACTTGTCCCAGATGTGGAGGTGGGAAGCAGCAGCTGAGGGTGAGGAAGGAGCAAGTAGGGCAGGTAGTGCTACCTAATGAATTTGGATTTTATCTTTATCTTTTTATCATTTTCATCAGGGGAATGATACCAGGTTTGGGTCTCTGAAAGAGCACCCTACATGGCTTGGAAAGCACTTTCGAGTGCGTGTGGGGAGACCAGCCAGAAGGCTGTTGTAGGTTTCCAAGTGCAAAGGAATGGTGACCCTGGAAGGTAGAGAAGTAGAGAATGTAAAATGGAATGTGGGTGGGTGTTGAGGCATTGGCAACAACACCTAGATCTTTGCCTTGAGTATGAAAGAATGAAAGAGCCCTTGACTAAGGTGGTAAAGCCTGCAGCAGGCTCAAATTGAGGGGGAAGATCAAGAGTTTGGCTAAGAAGGTAAGTTTGAAAAGCCTGGGCAATGGTTGGGTGGAGAGGGTCAATAGGCCGCTTTATATGAGACTGGTACTCAGAAGAGAGATCTGGGCTGGAGATACATATTTCAGTAACATCGGCACACAGTACACACATCATGGAGCTGGATGAGGTCCTAAGAAAGTGAAGGTAGATTAATAAGTAGGCAGAGGAAGAGCCAGGAAAGGAGGCTGAGAAGCAGTGACCCGTGGGGTAGGAGGAGGACCAGGTGAGCATGGGATCCCAGAGAGGAGGTTTCAGGAAGGAAAGAATGTTCAGTGGAGATGACTGCTATGGAGGACAGAAATGGCACCATTCGGTTTGGTTACAAGGGGGGGGGGTGGCTTAGGGACTGTATCCTTTATGATTCAAGTTCCAAAAACAAGACCCTAAATCACTTGGCTTAGAAAAATAAATATACCCTGCCACTCAGTGGCAGGTTAGTTGAGTGGCTTGACCATGTCATCACAAACATTCCATCTCTTAGGTTCATTCCATCTCTGCTGTGCTGTCCTCATGTTGGTTTCATGCTCGTGGTCATAAGATTGCCACCCCAGTTCCTGGGGTCTCATCCACATCGAGGAGATGACCATTCCTCCTGTAGCTGAGACTCAAACAAACTAGATGTGACCTCTGTCTTGCTGCTTCTGGGCTGAAGGATCTATGCACTCATGCCAGGCACACCCAATATCCAACACTGGAGGAAAAGAGGAGCCTCACAGTGGAAACTCTTGTTTAGAAAGGAGAAAGGCTAGGCGTTGGCAAGGATGTGGAAATTCTTGCACACTGCCCATGAGAGGAAACTGGTACAACCACTTCAGAAAACTGGCGGTTTCTACTAAATGTAAACAGACACTTATGCTGTGACTAGAATTTCCACTCTTAGCTTTTCATTCCAGGAGAAATACGTGGCTATTACAAGCAGACTTGGGCAAGGATTTTTATAGCAGATTTACTCAGAGCTCAACGTGGATATAGCCCAATGTTCACCAACAGGAGAATGGATAAACAAAATACGGCATGTCCATCCAATGGACTACTATGTTTTACATATAAAAGTACAAATTGCTGGGAGTTCCCTGGTGGACTAGTGTTTCGGATTCCGGGCTTTCACTGCTGTGGTCCGGGTTCAATCCCTGGTCAGGGAAAGGAGAACCCGCAAGCCGTCCGGCGTGGCATAAGAAAAAAAAGTACAAATTGCTGACACATGTGACACCATAGATTATACTCACATATGGTATGTGGACTGAAAGAGTCCAGACACAAACAGTACATACTGTATGATTCCATTCACAGAAGGTTCAAGGGCAGGCAAAACTAATCTATGGTTCTAGAAATCAGAAGCCACCTGGGTCGGAAGGGGCTGGGGGAGGGGGAGATAGAGATGGGGGAAGAGCAAGAGAGACTTTTCTGGGGTGCTGGAAAAGGTCCATATCTTAGTCTGGTTGGTAATTACATGGGCAAAAATTCAAGTTGTACCTTAAGATTAGAGGACTTTACGTACTTTATATATGTTATACCCCGAGAAAAATAAAATATAATAAGAAAGGAGGAGGTCCTGCCGTCCGTGGCGTGTGCTGTGTGCTGCTGAGGAAGGATCAGAAGGTCTGTTTTTGGAGGGACTTCACCCTCCAGTAAACTTCATGCCAGGTCTGGGCATTGACAAAGTCGTGGTAGCCAACCCTCTCCCCCTCAGGGCCCCAGAAAACAGGAGAAGGTGAGGCAGGGCCTTATTCACATGGAGCTGAGTTCTCTTCCCTTCCCCTGGACCCACAGGACTGCTCCACCACCGCCCCCAGCTCCGTTCCAGGTGGGAGAAATGACACCAGAGCTGAGCTCTGACTTGAGGGATCTGGAAGTTCCTTCTGCCCTACAATTTTGTTCAACAGACCTTAACTTCCTGTCAAGGCCTCTCCAGCCTGCCCCCTCCCCCAGACAGCTGGATGCACCTGTGACTCCTGCCCTCTCGTGCTCTGCGCTCCCCATGTCTTGTCCCTCCCTTCAGAATCCCCCTTTGGGCCTTTTCTGTCCCCACTCCAGGCCACAACCCTCTCTCTCCTCGGCCCTGTACCAGCCTCCTTGCTGGTCTTCCTGTCCCCCGCATCTCCCCCAGAACCATTGTCCTCCACACAGCAGCCAGAATGATCTTCCTAAAATGATCCTTCCTCTTGAGGGAGTGTCCCCTCTCCCCTGTCTTCCCCTGTCAATAGCCTTTCCAGTGTCCAAGCCCCAGGTCAGTGCCACCTCCTCCATGAAGCCTTTGCATTCATTCAGCAAACATTGAGCACCTAAAATGTGGCCAGGCACTGTGCTAGGCATGGAGGATAGAGAAGTGAGTAAGACAAACGTGGTCTGTAGACAGTCTAGGGAGACTGGCAATCAAGCAACGCCTCTGTGTGTGCACTCCCTCTGTCTGTTAACTCTGACTTGGCTATGAGCTCCTTGGGGGCAGGGCTCATTCTGAGGTCACTGCTTGGTCTCAGAGCCCAGTAGAGGGCCTGGCAGGGAGGAGGGGGCAGTAACTGTTGAATGAATGAATGAATGAAAAGCTAGGCCAAACTCCTTCCTGTTTCACTTTCCTCCAAGCCTCCGATTTAGCTGGTAACCAGGTCCATGGAATTCAGTTGGAACTGGATGGCAAATTTGGAGCTAAATGATAAAGAATCAGCAAAAGGTTGGTATTTATAGAACAAAGTTTTGTGAAGGCATAATACCTACTTTCCTACATCATCACTCCATGTGACAATTTTTTTTTTTTGACCGCACTGCACGGCATGTGGGATTTCAGTTCCCCGACCAGGGATCGAACTCACGCCCCTTGCATTGGAAGTGTGGAGTCTTAACCACTGGACCTCCAGGGAAGTCCCCAACAATGATGTTTTTTGAAGATCAACATTATTTCCTTACCAAGACTTAGGTTCAGGAAATTTAACTGTAATAGAGCAATAGTTATTTGTTAAATCAGCAAAGAAGCTACGTGATATCAAAAGATTTAAAATGTAATAAGAAACAAATATAACAAAACAGAAACAGGCCGACAGATATTGAGAACAAGCTAGTGGTTATCAGTAGGGAGAGGGAAGAGGGGAGGGACAAGATAAGGATAAG